TACGTCATCAATTTTATCTTCTGTTGGGGCGTCATTCATAACAATGATATCACACCAACGACCTTTTAGTATTATACTATATGATATCCTATCACTAATGAACTCAACCCTCTTAACTGCTGATAGGATTCTCTTATGTACGAAAAAACCTGTACCTAATTCATGATTTTCATTCCCCTTTCCGTAGAAAAATGTATAGTTTCCTGCTCGTGCGATGCCACCTCCATCCCATCTGACCTGTACTCCCGCTAAATCCAACTTATATTTTAAGATTTCTTCTGCCACTGCCCTGAGCGAACCTGCCCTATACAAACTTCATACTTTCCAAGTGCCAAATCTCATATCCATTTTCATTAGCTTAGTTCGTGTATCCAAGGAATCAGTCAAGGTCCGAGGCTTTGTGTTCATTTTCGTAACATAATGATTCTTTACGGTGAGGAGTTGTTAGCCCCACGCCCAACCCCCAAGCTGGAGGGCCACCCCTTGTAGGGCTGTCCGCGACTGCTTATTCAATATATTCACAGCATCCCTCCAAAACTGGAGGACGTCTCCTCCATCCACAACCTGAGGACCCGCCATGCCGTGGTGACAGGGACCCACCTAACATGGCGTTTGGTTGACACAAAACAATACGGCCCTATTTCTTACGGATAGAAATGTACGCAGTTCGTTTCTGTTAAATCGCCGTTAATCTGACCACATCTGAGCCAGTTATTCAAGTCTATTTCCGTATTCCGTATTGAGGGGGTGGTTTTCCCCATGCACTTAGACCGGTTAGTGGTCCATTGTGCGTCCCCCTTTAATTTCTACTGTCTCCATACCCTACCGGTACTGGTGCTTACTATCAGCCCCTTTCTGCCAGCAAGGTTCCAACCTCCTCTGGCAGTGGTATCTAATAGTTAGTCCCTTTATGTCAGAGAGGTCCCCCCTCCTCTGGCAGTGGTACCTAATACTTCCCCCATCTACCGGAGGAATTGGAAACTACTTGGGCGGGAAATGTTGCGTAATTTTGCTCAGAGGTCTCCTAGAGACATGAGGTTCTTTTACGTGCCGTAAATCTACGACACGGGACCCACGGCTTAAAGTCCCTCTCGGAGGACTTGTTCCCTGAATTTTTCCGCCCTTAAAAATTCCACTACCTCCGCCGGGTTTTTGAACCCGCGTACTACGAGTCATGAGGTGGGAACGTTACCTCTAGACTACGGAGGCCGCTATTCAAGTCTAAACTTATAACTGCTGTTAGCTATAGCCCCGATGAACAGACTGCCTGTAACTACCATACGCAGAGGCAGAATGTGAAGTAATTCGGACTTTAGATTGCACCAACAGGATACACAGTAATTCCAATTCGCATGAAGAGTTTTTCTGTAGGAGTTTTCACGTGACTGGCTGTAAAATTTCCGGGATTATTTTTGTTGCCTCTCTCTTAATTTAAGCGTCTGCTGAGAATGTCATGGAACTGCGGAATACCTTCACAGGCAAGGAAATGTGAATTTGTCTTTGTGCATAATTAATTAAGCACTGCGCCATGAAGACGTATGAGTGAGTGGAGAAATAGCTCCACTATTCTATACCTCGGCACTAGATGAAGGTGAGTGGTCAGATTTACGCCCCAGTCGCCTTACCCCCGTGAAAATTGTCCCCGGTACCCATTGAATAGGAGGCTGGATGGGCCCCAGGACCGGTCTGGGTGCTGTGGATTGGAGAAAAATCACTTGCTCTTGCCGGGAATCTAACCCTAGTCCTGTAGCCCGCAACTCGTCGCTATACATACTGAGCTGTCCCTGCTTATACAAAGGCAAGACATCTACAAAATAATTAAACTGTTTAATATTTTTTTGTTGTTTATTGGGGTGGGGTGAGACTGGGTCCACTTGGTACGTCGGTCTCTAGCTGGCCTATTGTACCAGTCCCGGATGATAGATACTGACTCCAGAGTTCATCAAACAAACTTATCTCTGGACTCTGGAGTCAATCAAACAAACTTATCTCCGGACCCTGGAATTCATCAAACAAACTTATCTCCGGACCCTGGAGTCCATCAAAACACTTATCTCCTGACTATGAAGTCCATCGGGCCTCCTATTCAGTGCACACTGAGGGCTCTCATATTTCCGGGAATTAAGTGGTCGGAGTGCAAAGCTGACCGCTGACTTCCATCTAGTGCTGATACATAGAATTCGTTCAGTTTTAACTCCCCTTTCCTACACAACTTCGTGGAGTATTGTTTAGGCATAGAGATAGCTTCATTTACTTGATTTAAGTAAGTCTGTTTGTGCCTCATTAAATTTTAAATGACAATTTTACTTTAGGTGACACTGCAAGAGCCAGGTGGAAGTCACTTCGAGACGGCTTCAGGAAAGAGCTCAAGAAAGTGCCGAAGGGAAGGCGCGGTGATGCTGATTTGGAATCCGACTATTCAACCTGGCCACATTTCAGACGAGTCTACTTCCTGAGAGACCAGTTCGCATCCCATGCGATTACCGGGGACATTCCTCCTAAAGAAAATAAGAGTTCAAGGGATGAACAAATAGACACAAGAGATGGAGGGCTAGAAAATTCACAGTTCAGTGAACTGGATGGTGCTTCTGTCGATATCTTGGATGTTAAAATTGAAAATTTTGAGCCACTGATTTCAAATGAACACCAAGTTACACCAAACGTCGAATCAGGCACGACAAAACTCAGCACCAAAAGCTCATATCAGCCGGATGTAGGCAGCGCCTCTTCACGGATCGAAAGATCAGCGCTAAAAGTTAGTGAAGACGAATGCAAAACATGGGACGAAGATGCCAGTTTCTTTGAAAGCCTGATCCCCCATATAAAGGGACTCTCACCTGCGAGAAAAATGCTGCTACGCATGAAGATCCAGGAATTGATTTATAATTTTGTATATAATCCAGAATTTTAAATTCAGCAATATGCCATTCCTCCACCTGCACAGAATTTAACATAGCAAGAAAGTGTCATTTGTGACCCTAACACATTCATTTGCTCAAGTAGTGGTCACGGCAAAGCAGATTTATGTGAGGCCAACACTAATCTGTGTTTCTGTCATTTAAAATGTATTTTAAGTCTATGCTTATATATTTTCATGTAGACCATTAAATTATACCTATTTTACATGTTCTACAGAGTCTTGTTGGTATTGGCTGATTTCAGTAAGGTTATATGGCAACTTTATATATTATTCTATAAGTGGTAGATTGTTATTATTATTATTACATTTATTGATATGTATTAATATTCTGAACCAAATAAAGACGAAGCAGATGCAATGCAGAAAACTCTTGACATAGGAGTATCCTTGGACTCGAAAGAAGCCGTTGCTTACCTTAATATTACAATAATTCGGTCATACGAATGCCAATCCAGACACAAGGACCAGCTGTCGCCATAAGACAAAGAAGTCGCCTGTCCAAGTTTCTCTACGAATGTATTTAAATAAAAGTGGCCCAGTGTAATCAGAGCCATCAATCCCCGCAGCCCTCGAAAGTGTCAAAAAATTTCCTTTAACATCCACAGAAAACTACTACGTTCTAGGATATGACGCCGTGACGTTTACCAGTAGTCCTCATGGTTACCACCGAAACAAGTTGGCTCCAGCAACAAAGCTTCCGATTTGTATTTTTCTGAGTTCCATAAAATGTTGGGAAATTCTTGAGTAACTAAAACTGCTTATTGTACTACACAGTCCGTCAACAATGCAACATATTGTTCCTTCTTTCCTTCACTTTCACTTTCGACACTACATGTTTCGGCCTTAAATGGCCATCTTCAGGTGTCTTACTTTGCTAAAGGTGCTACACTGCATAGTAAGGCACCTGAGGATGACCATTTAAGGCCGAAACATGTTGTGTCGAAAGTGAAAGTAAAAGAAAGAAGGAACATTTTGTTGCGTTGTTGACGGACTATGTAGTGCATAAACAGTTTTAGACATAGTGATGCGGTAGGATGCTCAAATACAGGATTCTTGAATAGCTTGGCAACTGGTGGCTTCTCAAGAATGACTCAGTTCTATGGAGTCTGTGAGAGTTGGCTATTTTGTGCTGGCTCCCGAGATCGCTGTCATAATCTCGGAGTGGGGGACGTCTAATATACACACGGTCAAGGCTTGTCTCTGCCGTGATATGATTCATTCAATACGGGCCATCTCAGTGCCACGTTCTGAATAACATCAGTCGATACGCTATATTAAAGTAAGTAAAGCTATCCCTGTAAGAGGTCATTATGGCCCATAGGATTGTGAGACGTCGAGGCTCCCACACTATCTAGACAATCGGCTCAAAGATGGCAGTAAGGTTGTCAGCATTACGCGCCGGCCGCGCTTTACTGCCCAGGAAAATTATTTAATTAGTTCCTGGTACTCATTTCTGTTAGAGGCTGAGTGAACCCCAGGGCCATAGGACGTCTGGAAGGATTAGGTCAATTGAAAAAAATCCAATGACTTCATCGGGACTTGAACACGCGACCTTCCGGCTTGTAGCATAGTGCCTCAACCAACTACGCTACTGCGTGCCGCCATATGTTATATTAGGGCTGTTTTTTTATATAAATTGTGGGTTACATCATTTGAACTACTACTACTACTAAATTATATGACATCTGTACATCTTCGGGATTTGGCTCTTACAGGGTCCGATACAGAAAAGAGTTGCGGATGCAGAGAAAATGTAAAAAAGTGAAAGTAGGCCCTGGAGGCCTCTAAGGTTGTGGGACGTCCAGACTCCCACATTTTCTGTAGACAGTCGCCTCCCAGTTGGCGGTGAGGTTGTCAGCCTTACGCGCCGGATGCCGTTTACTCCCAGGAAGATTCCTGATACTCATTTCTGTTAGAGGCTGAGTCGACCCCAGGGCCATAGTGCGGCTGGAAGGATTAGGTCAATTGAAAAAACCAATGACCTCATCGGGGATCTAACCCGCGACCTTCCGGCTTGTAGCACAGTGCCTCAACCAACTACGCTACCGCGTCTCCCGGCGAATCCAAAGCAAATACGATTAATTTATTTAAGAATATAAATTAAATTAAAACTGACAACCAGTACAGTTATCAAAATGAATTTCTTATCACTTATTTTGAGCACGGTTACTCCGCGGTTCCGAGCTTGTATAGCCGACAAAGGATAATGGGACTGTAGGTGCTTTTGTGCGTCCCACAACACATGAATGCAGTACCGTGAATGACACAAGTGAAAACCCATAAAGAAAATATATACAGAGAAGAACTGTAATAAGTGCCCCTTGCAGCATCTACCAACCACGTGTGTGGCTTCAGGCATCGTCAACAAGACACCTCAGCAAATACCGGAAAAGTGGAACAGTGGAGCGTGCCGAAGAGGCTGTGCGGAATATATGAGTATGGAGACATTTGCACTTCTGCTTTCTGCAGTGTTGGACATCTGTTCTCTCTTCCCCTACTTATTCGTTCCGTTCGCTCCTTTCTCCCATCCTCTATTTCTTTGTCTTCTTTACTTCTTATATTTTTGTTTCATTTCTTATTTGCTTATTTCTTTCCTTTGTTTCTTTTTACTTTCTCTATAAATATATTTTCATCTCTTTCCTTTCCTTCCATTTGCCTCTGTTTCATTCTGTCCTTAATTTCTTTAATTTATTATTTGGGACATGCCCTTTAGTATCTGCTGGGACACGGGATATCCTGATTGTATTTCTGTGGATTTACTCAGTTCTGCATGGAAATACCGAGGTAGAACCTTAAATTATGCAATTTTTTTAATGCTAGTGGGGTGGGACTAAGTCCCTTGTACTGCGGCCACTTCTGGCCTATTGTACCAGCCCCAGATGATAGGTGAGGGTGATTGTGGAGCAATTGGTGGAATGAAGATTGGCAGTGGAAACCGAAGTACTCGGAGAAAACCTGCCCCAGCGCCACTTTGTCCACCACAAATCCCACTTGACCAGACCCGGGATCAACCCCGGACCGCCGCGGTGGGAAGCCAGCGACTAACCGCTTGAGCTATGGCGCGGCCCACAAATTATGCAATTACCACTTCCGTCCACATCCTTCCCGATTGATTATTTTCTGCCATCCAAGAATCCAACCCTACATGACAAAGGTGGCTAAACGTACGGAACGATTCAGCTGCACATCAGTTCAGCAATCACAAACATGCGTGGAGGATTGGATGGTACTGGTGGTTAGGTACGTGCGAACTGCTCAGTAGATATTTTGTATTTAGCCCATTTCTTAAAACGGGGGTTCATCTAACGGTTCAAAATAGCCGCATATGACTCGCGAGCCACAGTTTACCACGTCTGTTATGCAGTCAGGGTTACTGACAGTATCATTAAATGAACCAGAAACTAGTATTTCGCGTGTAAGACCACTATTAAGTGGGCTACTAATTTACAATGCATTACCCGGTACCCGCAGTGTGTTACTGTAATGCTCCAGGTGAAATCGTATATTTGTAAAGCGTGCAATTCTAAGAAATAAGAGCCGGGATTGCTCAGTCGGTATAGGGACTGGCTACGGGCTGGACGACCGAGGGGTCGGAGTACGAATCCCGGTAGGATCAAGAATTTTCTCTTCTCCACGTCGTCCGGACTGGCTCTGGGGTTCACCCAACCTCATATCCAATGGACACTTTCCCTGAGAGTAAAGGACCGGGGCACGAAACTGACCACTCACCGACTAGTGCTGAGTTCAAGAAAATGTGGACCTACTTATATATCTCCACTCCCCCATACCCCTCATGGCATAGTGCTTAATTAGTTAAGCACATGGAAATTTGATTTGTTTCATTCTGGTCCGTCACACTAACAATTATACATACAAACCACTCCGTGCAATGTGACATATAAGTTTTTACTACGTTACTACGTTAAAACTTATGTGTCACATTGGACGGAGTGGTTTGTATTTACACATGGAAATCTTTGCATTACGTGATCTTCTCCATGTGCTCCAACTATAAATTGAAGAATTAACATTGAAAAAAATTGCTTTAAAATTAACGCCACATTATTCACAATATAAACGCGTAGACGTTTATGTAGAAGGAAGAATGACAGAAAACTAACGAGGATAGAAAATGTTTAGACTGGTGTCACTGCATGAAACGTATTGCAATTATTGTTATTACAGATGTACCTGTGTCTCGTGTGCTACGGGTTGTGTAACCTGCTACCGACACTAGAAATTGTAGTCATCCACCGACCTTTACCAAGCAAAAGCTACTAATCTTCCGGTCAACTTAGGCATAAATCCTTGGGATGCACGACCAACATGTCAGATTCTCTCAAAACACTCCGATATCACGTGGCCTTCTTTTGCCACTGAACGGGCTGCGAGGTGTGGGTGGGTATCATATGACGTCACTTGCAGGAAGCGTATCTCTGAAGGTCACACGTTTCGTCGCGAAAGGATGCTGTACTTGCTGTATCTGTCACTTAAAAATTCTTTCATAACTGACAGAAACGCGAAAAGGAACTGAATGATAGCAGAGCCAGAAAAGACAGAGTACTGTTACAAATCCCTCACGCCAACCGCGGCTCGAGATGACATGCAGTCCGGTTTTTTGCTAAGTTCGGATGTTTACCTCTGTTCAGTTCTTGCACTTGCTTCCTCAGCAGCCCAAAAGCCAATTATAACGTTAAGCGCAAGCAAAAGGAGGCACCAGACATGCACGCAAACAAAGACAAAGAAAGAAATAAAGAAGCAAATAAAATAAATACGAGTATGTAGGATAACGGAAATTAAGAGGAGATTGAACTCGGGTAATGCTTGCTACCATTCAGTCCAGAAACTTTTGTCTTCTCGTCTGTTGTCCAGAAACATAAAAATTAGAATATATAAAACTATAATTTTGCCTGTGTTTCTGTACGGTGGTGAAACTTTGTCTCTGACATAAGGGAGGACCACAGACTGAGGGTGTTTGAGAACAGGGTGTTGAGGAGAATATTTGGACCGAAGAGAGATGAAGTGAGAGGAGGTTGGAGAAAACTGCATAATGAGGAGCTTCACAGCTTGTACCCTTCTCCAAGTATGATTAGAATGATGAAGTCAAGGAAGATGAAGTGGGCACGAATTGGAGTGAAGAGGAATGCATATAGGATATTGGTGGGAAAGCCAGAAGGAAAGAGGCCACTGGGAAGACCAAGGCGTAGGGGAGTGGACAATATTAGAATGGATCTTAGAGGGATAGGATGGGATGGTATGGAACGGATTGATCTGGCTCAGGATAGGGACCAGCGGACGGCTGTTGTGAATACAGTAATGAACCTTCGTGTTCCATAAAATGCTGGGAAATTCTTGAGTAGCTGCAGACTTGGCGGCTCCTCAAGAAGTATAAATAAGTAAATAAGTCAGTAAGGATAACAGAAAACGAACAAAAATAATTCAGAGAAGTAACGAAATGTGTGAACGAACAATGAACCATCTAAAGTAACTAAGAGAGCAAGCAAACAGAAGGAACTTGTATGTCTTTCTCGTATTCTTTCTCGTAGGTAGAATTAATTCTCGACACACTGTATCGAATTTATGCCTAGTTAAATTGTTATTCCATCTGTGTCTAGTTTGTAAGGTAAGATAAACTAAGATAACCAGTAGTTACTATAGGATTCTGACGATGGTGTATAACACACAGAGATATTGGGTTTTCGGACCTTATCCATCGTCCTGGTTTTTAAGATAACTAAGAAAAACACGACGTTTCAGAAACTGGATCTGTTTCCGTCCTCAGGTGAGGGAAAACACCTATTCTGTTGGGTCCCTTAGAAAGATATCTGTAAGATAACCAGAGTCGGACAGTGCTACTGGAACGCGGTTGTCAAGATCTATCCAGAAGCCTAGAATAACAAAACTGGACTACCAGATCGCCTCAAGTTTTGTGGCAATCTCAGGCTTTCATTCATGTGACACAGTTCCATGTTTAATGTAAAGCGAACATTACCTCTTGCAAGTGTACACCGACAGTATGTAAAGGGTTCAACCAGCATCATGCAAGCTTTCTTACAAGGCTTTGTTTGCACTTAGATGCGTGAGTTTTGTGCTTGTGATGCGTTATTGTAGATGATGTTGCAGATCCTGCAGCAGTAACTATGAAGACTACCGGTGATGCCGTGCGGTGTGTAGGTCCCTGTTATAAATGTTAACCTTGCAGGCACTAAAACTGAAGTAACGATTATCTCCATCAGAAACAATACGTTTAGTATATATATATGGTTAGGTTGTGCCGCGCCATAGCTCAAGCGGTTAGTCGCTGGCTTCCCACAGTCACCCTCACCTATCATCTGGGGCTGGTACAATAGGCCAGAAGTGGCCGCAGTAGAAGGGACTTAGTCCCACCCCACTAGCAATAAAAAAAATGGTTAGGTTAGTCGTCGCCACAACAAAGTCATTTCTAATCAATTAATATTTTACAATTGAATACATATTTCCTGCTACATGTTTCGGCCTCATAGAACCATCGTCAGGCAGTGATATAAGAATATGTATAGGGTCATTGAATTCCTAACATGGATCCATATTGGTGCAACGTGTCATATTCCATGATACAGAAATTGTGTTTCGAGTTGCATTGAAATTGAATATAAAAATATCAAGGATATATTAAAAATATATCATACATGTATATTGACTTTGTATTATAGGTATTAAAAGTATTGAAAGATGTATTAAAATTATTAAAATTATGTATGCGAAGTTTCGAGGCACTATGCTACAAGCCGGAAGGTCGCGGTTTCAAGTCCTGATGAGGTCATTGGATTTTTTTCAATAGCCGCACTATGGCCCTGGGGTCAACTCAGCCTCTAACAGAAATGAGTGCCAGGAATTAATTAAATAATTTTCCTGGGGGAGTAAAGTGCGGCCGGCGCGTAAGGCTGACAACCTTACCGCCAGGTTTGAGCCTATTGTCTAGATAGTGTGGGAGCCTCGACGTCTCACAACCCTATGGGCCTTCACGGCCTGTTAAGGGAAACCTTTACTTTACGTTTTTATGCCAAGTTTCAAATTTAGTGTCCTGCATATTCCTTACAGTTTTGATATTTTAAATGTGTTGTAAGGCTGAAAGCTTCGTTAGGAAATATAAAAAAAAAGTTTAAAAAATAACTCTTTGAGTAACCGTTCAAATATTAAGCATATGTGTAAGTATTCACTGGGATCATTACGTAACAGGATCTTGTTAAAAACTAAATGCAACAAACCTACAAAACGCCCCGTGCAATTAAGTGTAAGTCCACCATGCCCAAGTTTGATAGGAGGCGTTTCGATAATTTGAGTGCTACAGGTAAGTAATGTTGGCTGGGGTATGCTGTGGCCCCATGACTTCTGCACCAGCAATCTGTTATGGGAACGACTGTGCAGTATCATCACTTAGTGACGTAGACCGTTACGTCATAATTAGGAAGTTACAAGATTATATTGCCAATATTTTCCCGATATTGATGTGATTTTTTTTCAAAAAGATTTCCCAAGCAAGGTATAACTTACCGTGGTTCGTAGAGTTGATGGACTTTAACATGAAGTTCAGGTAGAATTCTTACTACTGCACTGATTTCTAGTCCCTTGTGATGTTCATGCTATATGTCTAGTGTAAGTATACTATCCAATAATGAAATTTAATTTAACTTACTGTCTCGCGTCTTGAATATGTGTGTGTAGATGGTCGTAAGTTCGAATTCTGGTCGAGTCAAATTCTCGTTTCCAGCTGTAAATATGTAATAAAATATTATTATTATTATTTATTGTTATATTTATAGACAGTGTCACGTAACTTCTAACAAGGCCCACGCATAGCTTGTGGTGGGAGGAGTTTCTAAACACTCGCTCTTCCACTGGCCGCCTGTCACTTCTCAACCCTCCACTCCCTTGTCTGAAATTTTTCTTCTGCGCATTCAAGGTTACTCTTGGCCTTGTTCGAAGTTACGTGACACTTGCTATAATTATTATTACTACTACTGTTATCATCACCTAAATTTAACTTTGATTTTTGTTATTAATACTATTATCATCATCATTACTGAGATATTATAAATTGTCTTGTTTTGTTCTTAGTGTTTCTCTCTTTCACTCATGTACACTTTGTAATTGGCCCTTGGGCTGTTGAATTAGAATACAAATAAATAAGAATTGAACTAAATTTTTATCACTATCATTATCATAATATTTTTACGAATAACTTTACTTAGATGTGGATTTTGTCTACGTAAAATCTGTCAAACATAACCTAAAAGTTTCGCAACCTTTGTACTTGCTGACTTACAAAGAGTAATGCATATGTTATGTGAAGGCTTATCCACACCGTATCTCCATCATATCTCCAGTTAATTATCATTATCAAATAGCTAAATATAGAATCACGGATCCGTCATTTTGTTGTTCTTCATTCAACATGGAAACTATCTGAACAAAAATAGCTTATTCCTCTATAATCTACTGACATAAGAGTACACAATTTCAAGGCCATAGATTCAGCAGCGCTAATGTCGCCTCAAAAATTCATGCGGCCGCCATTTTATTAATATCTATTGTCGGAATTAAGAAATTATGAAGTTGGAGTGATTTTTAATGTCCATGCCAGATTTTGTGAAAATCGATTATGTGATTCAAAATTTGTATCAGGGGGACGGGGACATAGGCTTATCGTTGTTCTTAGAGACGGAAAGTAGGCTGAAACTGAATAGGTTTATTATCTCTCTTTTCAAATGTGCTCATTGAATTTTCGCAGAACGTAAGTTTGAGGTGCTTCTAGCGACATACTTATCAGAAGTGAGAAATATTGCTAATTGTTCGTGCCACTAAAAGCTGCGTGATGTGAGGCATTTGCTCCTCATGACGATATGTATTTTCCAATGCATAGCAAAGGAGTTTCACTCCTTATACATCTTTACACTAGCTGAAGTGGCTTCAGCGGCTGAATAACACTGCAGCTAATCAAACATTATTGTCTTACTGTGAAAACTGAGGGTTACTCTTCTTAATTTCGCAAGGACTAACGTCCCAAACCTAGAGATATACTCAATGGATACTTCTGCGCGCATGGCGGCACGCGGTAGCGTAGTTGGTAGCGTAGTTGGTTGAGGTACTATGCTACAAGCCAGAAGGTCGGTGGATCGAATCACGATCAGGTCACTGGATTTTTCCAATTTACCTAATCCTTCCAGCGGCATTATGGCCCTGGGGTCGACTCAGGGCGGTCGGCGCTTAAGGCTGACAACCTGACAAAATGCGCTGTAACATACGTGAGAGTACTTTTTATATTCGGTACATTTCATGATTTTATTAATTTAGATTTTTTCAGAAATCTAACGGAAGGAATTCAGATGCCTGGTTTGCTCCTTCCCCCTCCCCTCCGGCCGGCTTGCACCCGTGGTAATGCGCCGTGTACCAAAACCAACAAACCAATCATTAGCCGTAAAATCAGTGCTACAACTACAGACACGTACTCAAGAAGTAACTGAATAAGGAGTCCTCGTGATTGTCACTGTTTCACTCAGCCCCACAGACAAGTCCTGGAATTGTTCAGCTAACGATAGGCGGAATTGCGCAGACTTCGTTTCGCTCGTAACATAAAACTAAAAAGTAAGGTTGTCCCTGTTTTCAAATAATTAAACACTATTGGGGAGTGGAGTTCTTGACTTCAGCACTAGATGGACTTGAGTGGCCAGCTTCACGCCCCGACCGCTTTACCTCCGGAGAAAAGCCAGTGGGTGGGCCCCAGAGCCGGTTTTGACGCTGTGGAGAAGAGAAGAATATTGCTCCTGCCTGGAATCGAACCCCGGCCGTCCAGCCCTTAGCCCGTACTATACCGACTGAGCTACAAAACGTTATGTAACAGGACCGTGCATTTACTTGTTTCATTTTCCAGAGGCCGCATGCAGTCAGCGTGTTGTGCTCTGCATAGGGATGGGATAACGTTCGTTTCGCGGGTGTAAAAAGCGCGAGTGGCGTGAGGGGATGTGGGTAGACTGGTCCTCCTGACTCATGCTTAAAACTGAATACTAAAATCAGACTCTTAGCTGGAGCTGGAGAACAAATATAGCTCATGCAAGTCACTCGGGTGGGGGAACCTAGACGGACAGATATTCTGAACCCTAATGATGAAAATAATCACGACCCAAAGTACATGTAGGTCCAGGCCCGACCCCGTACGCAGTGAATCCTCGCCTAACCGGTGTCAACGGGCCTGGCATGCTGCTTCTTGTAGTAGTAAAGTGTTAAAAGTGTCAAAATATAGGAACGGATGCTTTTAGGAAACGTTTGTGTCTCGTTTAACCGCTTCTAACTTCTTCGTCACATAATTAGGAACAACTGTTGCATTACAGATGTGGGCTGTGTAGGACCTGGGCGTCTCCTTGACAGCTGCTCGACCATTCTCCTGCTTGCTAGCTAGTCTGCCGGTGAAAAAGGTAAGACAACCCAGCTGCCGTTACTGGAAGCCGTTTCTCTTTCTAGACCAGACCTTTGTGTGCATAGTTTGAATGTGTCTCTTGCTGCAGAAGGTTGTTCTGTGTGACTGTTGAAACATTTCGCTCGTTGGTGTTATCAAGGGAAGTGTGTGTTCTTTTGGGTACTCGTAAATGACAATGCGTTTGTGTTTGGTGTAATCTGTAACACAAGTTCTGACAGTGGCACAGGAATATTGTCCAAATATTGGTTAGTATACTTGAGTTTATCTGGTACCGGCAACAAGTAATATTCGGGATTCGAACAGCGGGACTGCGCAGTGTACATAGCGTCATCATTCATCTGTGAAACTGTCAGGATGCGGCTTAAACATCGGGACAAAAGTTGGTAAGTAACACAAAGATATTATTAACATTGTTCATTGTACTAATTAGATGTATTAACTTGGTCTGTATTCTAGTTCTCCCATGCCACCCCGAATTGTCAGTCATAACGGAGTCATGGTAAAGGAGTGTGAAGAGAAATGATAAAATATCGGGGAGAGGGTGAAGCACGTAGCTTATAAATACTGTCGCATTTCCCGATTCTCCTACAAATGTTCAAGAAAAGTAACAGAAAAATTACGTAACATGGAGAAGATTCAACCGAT